CAGTAACCCATTATTTCGGTTACCGGAGCCCAGGAATATACAAAATAAAGCCCAAGCCCCAATTATAGGCCCCATAGTAGTTCCTTTTTGGGGTTCATATTTAGAATCCTATAAGGTACTCCCAAAAAGGAACCACGATGGGGCCTATGGGTAAACCCGAGCCCGGTCATTTCTCCACTTACCCTAAACCCTAAACCCTAAAACCCTAAACCCTAAACTGCTTCTTTCCCTACGCGCGAGAAATCCTGATCCTGTACCTAGAGCTCCTCGGCCTTCCAAGATGTTATAAAGGACCTGACTGAGGGTTTACACTTCAATCTTCGAAGCGTTTAGCGCTTCGGGTTTAAGCGTTCAGGGTTTTGGATTTAGGGTTTCTCGTTTTGGGCTCAGGATTTGGGATTTAGGGTTTGGACTGTAGGGTTTCGTATCTTGGCATGGAGTTTGGGAGTTTCGGCTTGTCGTGTGAGGCTTTAGCCGAACACGTACCTCGATATGCAGCGGTGTAGATGCCTTTTCTTCTCCCTTCTTCTTAATTGCACCTACGGCACCGACCGGATTTTTGGAAAAAGCCGTTGCAATCGCTGGTGTCGCCACGGCTTTGAGGGTTATGGCGATTTTCTAAATCAGCCTTTCGGGTGGTGCTTATCTGCGCAGACTGTGCCGCGCTTGGTCCCCCAAAGCATGGGCTTAACCAATCCTGCGGTAAACTGCCCAAAATCCTAAACCCCGTATAAACCCTCTAACTCCAAACTGAACACAAAACCCTAAACCCTAGAACCGACATCAAGACCACTGCATCTTGAAGCCTCACAGGGCCAAGGCCAACCCTAGCTTCCGAGTCCACCGCCATCTCTCATTGTCGAGGTGAAGGACCTTCACATGGTTGGTTGTCAAAATTATGGTCCCTTTTGGGGTCCTGATTATAATACGGCACCTATTTAGGGTACCATTTTGACAACTACCCACATGATGACGGGGCCTTTATGATGACACTAGCCTTTGCTGCAAGGGCTCTACAAGGCTTAGGCTGATCTTGAGCGCTTCTACAAGGTAAAAGGGTCTGGTATTGGGGGCGTTTATAAGCTGCTTAGAGGCTTTATGGGGCTTCAGAAGGCTTTAACTATGGTTTGACAAGAGCTCTGAATGATAAGGGTCTTCGTTCTTCGAACAGGGTCTGGGACATAGTGTAGTATTACAATTGTGATAGGGACTATAAGTGGAACTGCTGCTGATTTCAGACCGCTATACCAATCACAGAGCTGGTTTCGGGCTGGATCAGAGTTCAAGGAGTTAGGGTCGAAGCTTAACTGTGATGTTGCGATCTGATCTTGATCAGTGCTTGTATGTACCCATCGGCCCCGTAGTAGTTCCTTTTGGGATTACCTTATAGGATTCCACCTTAAACCCTAAACCCTAAATATGAACCCCAAAAAGGAACTACTATGGGGCCTATGGGTAGGTTACAGCCCAATCGGAGGCTTAGGCTCTCAAGGGGCAACTCCCGGCCTGCCGAAATGCTGAGGGTTTAGGGTTTAGGGTTTAGCAGGGTTTAGGGTTTAGGGTTTAGAGCCAAAGAGAGGGATGTTTGGTTGGAGCTTGACTCCGTGGAGGAGTGCTGCGGAATGCAGGCAATCATCTTCAAACACTAATACGGCCTCGAACGCTCGGCCCTACCGAAATCCCAAGTAGCATCATGTACTCTACCCTCTAAACTAAAAACAACTATAACCCCAAGGACCCCAAGCAACCTGAAACCCCAAAACCCCTAAACCCACGAAGATACGAGGTCCGCACACAGGCAGCAAAAGTTGGACACTTGGACCGGTGACCTGGCGGAAGAAAAGGGTTGGATTCAGATAGGGGCCTGAGAAATATAAATATGCAAGTGAATACATATGTGTACGTATATGTATGTATATACATATATATATATATATGTATGTATGTATGTATGTATATTCATATTTATATGTATATCTATTCATATTTCTATTTCTCTTTATATATAGACTACGGTAGAACAGGATGTTCGGGGCAGCCACACTACAGCTATTACATCATTAGACCCGGCTCTTTCGATGATATTTTGTAGTGACACAGTAAATAGTAAGTAGAGCCAGTCCTGTGCGGGACATCTTAGAAACTCGGCAAAGCTCGCCAGCGAGGGTTTTTGTCTAAACCTGCGCATGAAGGAGGATTTCTCCGCCGTAGGATACTATGATCCCGAATCAAAGGGGCCTTCATTGACCCGCCCTTTCCTAGTACTTATGTTTACCTGGCGGGATGCCGGTGACTGTACAGCCAGGGGGTTAAATCAATCTGCTCCGGCCGAAGCCGAAGCCGAAAATCGGCCGCGGCCGGAGAATGAGTTCGGTTCAGCACCTCCATCTTTCTCCAAGTAGTCCAGAGTCCAGCGTCTTGCGCAACAGGGCCTTGGTGATGTCCCCAAACTTGTATCCTTCCTTGCCCGTGAAGTCAGCGAACTTGTCCATGGCTTTGTTGATCGCAGCCTTTGTCACGTCTCCAAACTGGTACTCCTCCTTGCCAAGGAGCGTGGCAACTGCAACCTTTGCACGAGCGGCGGCTTCCTTGCTAATGTCCCCGAACTTGTACCTGAACCCCAAATAACCTAGCTCTCTTCGGGAGTTGTATATCAAGAAATGAAACAAGAGCCCAACAAAAGAGTAGGTTCAATAGGGTTCAGGTACTCCTCCTTGCCCGTGAAGGCCAGCGCAGCCTCCTTTGCTCCCTCTTTGATTTGCCCAGCCACGGGTTTCACGACCTGGGAAAGAATGATGGGACTGCTTCCTTCTGGAGCCGCTTTTGCGGCATCGGCGGTGAGATACACATTGTCGAGCTTCTTCACAGCCGATGTGACTTTCTCCTCCACCTTCGCCGCCACATCTTCCATCTTGTAGTCCTCCTTCCCCACAAACTCGCTGATAGCGGCCGCAACGCTGGTGCCCACCTCCGTCTTCAGCTCCTTGGTCATCTGCCATGCAGTGGCCGCGGCGCTGGTGCGAGTCAGCACCAGAAGGCGGGCAAGCTCCGACTTTCGAGAGTTATCCTCCGCCTTATCTGCCTCCTCAATCTTGGCCTCAATATCCTGCTCCAACTTCGCCAAGGCTGTAACCTCCTCAGGATCTGCGTAGCGAACGATGCGCTGGGGCCGCAGGCTCCCTCGGAGTTGCGGGGCCGAGTTCGGCACAAAGCTGGGGGCAGAGTGCAAGGCCAGAGCCACAAGGGCGAGGGCCAGCGGGAGAGCTCCCGGACGTCGGAGCGAACGCGCCATGGCACGACACTTCGTCACAGACGCAATGTGAAGGAGGTGCTTGCGCCTGAATGGCTCACAGTGCTGTCGGTCGGAAGGGTTGGTAGTTTCAGGCCCTCTAAGGTCTTCGACGCGACGATTGAACCTCCAAGCCTCCAGGGCTGTGAGACTTCGGGTTTCTAGTGCTTTACTGGCTTAGGCCCCCTTCTGTACTTTAGAAGCAGTAAAGAGCCCCAGAGGCTTTGCTTAATTCGAGGGTTTACGGCTTTGGGTTTACGGTGCAAAGCTTAAACACATACACAGCTGAAACCTAACCCTGAAAGCTGTACAGCACAGGGCCTCGCCCAAGAACGCCGCAGTGTAGACATGTTATTGCAGCTTCCGGGTGCTGCGGGTAAGCGTACAGAGCCGTTGCGGTTTCTTAGGGTTTAGGGGCGAACTTCGGGACACATAAATTCAACGAACTTCGCCTCTGGGAGCAGCCTTATTAACCGTTGTACCTTCAGCTGCGTGTGAGCTACTTACAGTCAACAGGCCCTGCTGGCATGCACGGGTTTGCGTCTCTTCGCGCACCCACTACATGATTGGCTAGTGTACATCGTAGTGTGACGTAAACTAAAGCTGCTGTAATTAAACCACGGCACTCGCATTTTGCACGGGTTCGGGCACTGTGAAAACATGTCCATTGTAGGAATTGCGGGCCGCGTCCGACAGCTGTTATGCATAATTCTACACATCCCGAGTGTATTCAATTCCGGAAACAACCATAAACCCTAAACCTACACCCCTCAGCAGAAAGCTGCAGCCGACTAGATCTTAGGGCTGCCGTCTCGTGGAGTCGCACCTTTCTTCTCGTTGATCTTCTGGATGTCCTGGGTGAAGAGCGGAGTCTTAAATGCTTCAGAGATAGGAGAGGCGAATATCGAAACCCAAACAGTTGAAAGTTCAGCCGAGAATTCCGATTGCCTATCGGGTAGGCTACTGCCTGGATATGACTAACCATACGTCTCACCATACGTATACTACTGAAAGTCGGGAGGCGTAAAAGGCTGCCAGAAAACCAGTGAAACCCGGGTCCTCATAATCAGGCTCTTCGGGCCGTTTAGGGCGATTTCATGTTTATAGGGTTTAGCATATTCAGAAAGTCACATATAGAGGCTCCCGCCCAACCCACAAGCCTAGAAACAAACACGGCCCACGAAAACGAACATACTGAGCACGTGTCTTGTCGAAGAACTGACACCAGCCGCAGGACCCGTGTTTTGCAATCAAGCTAGGGTTTACTTATCTTCCTTCTTGTGGTTCGTGCCGTCATGTCCTGTTTAAGGTTACTGCAATGTTAAATGGTATCACTTGGGCACTAGGACTGCTGAATCTTGGAAGCACCATCGGCTTGAAAACCTCAAACATGAATGT